GTACAAGCGTCGAACACTGTCAAAAAAGAGTCTCGGACAAATAATTGATATTTCTTTCTGAGAAAATCAAGTTTTTTTCTGCCGATACAGCCAATTGAGCTACTCAAGTAGTCATCAAACAGAAAAATCAGTTTTCTATTGGCTTATTGGAATATTCATGAAAAATAATTCGTTTTCATCGATTCTTATCGATAAGGATGATTTAACGTTCAGAACGATTAATACATAACTTAACTTGAGTAGAACCTTGAACAGTCCAATGTACAATACATTCGTCTTAAAGTAAATAGTAGTATATGAGAAACAGTAAAAAGGTAGATAATTTTAAAAAAACTTATCAAATCGACTAAGAGTATAGGCTTGTTTGAAGTTTTGACATGATGGGCAAGTCCAAGTCCGGACTGGGAGACTATTTTACCCGGACTGGGACTGAAGGAGTAGGAGACCTGGACCGGACTGGGACTGAAGGCATAAGAGACGTAGACATTTTTTGGCAGATTTTTTCACATTTGTGACTGAACTTTTCAGTTTAAATTTGAAAAAAGATGAAAAGAATAAAGAAATTGAATTCACTGTTATCTTTTTCGTGTTACCGCGTAGTCGGTTAAGATTATCTCTGATCAGAACTTTTGATCAGAGTTACTTACAATCAAAAGGCGGCTCTCTTTTTCCGTTGATTGATTGGTTTCTTTGCACTAAATGCCCGTCTGCCTTTCTGCACTGGAAATTCTAATTTTCTTAACGTTACGTTCAGACATAATGACTTCTACTATCCATTTCAAAATAGAAGATGAGTGAAAAAGACTATAATAACTCCGAAACGGAAGAAGCTAGCGACAAGCGGTTTTTTTGCTTTCAAAAGAGGACCCTATGGCACGTTGAAAACTTATGAAAAAAACATTTTTTTTAAATTTTACTGGTTTTTCAAAAGGGTTTTCTGAAAAACTCTTGGAGTTTGAGATTATAGAGTAACGTAATTTCGTTTTTGACATTTGGACTATAAACAGTAGACATTTCTCTACAATCCTATGCATTCGAAAAAGTTTCCCGACTTTGCGTTCAAAATCCAGACGCTGTCTACGAAAACCCCTAAAAAATGGATTTTAGACCTAAAAAACGAGATTTTCAGCCTATATGATATTAAAAAAAGGTGGATTCCAACGTTTTCGACATCGCTGATCATCCTCACGATGTTTATTTTACAATCAAACGTATTCTGAAAAACCGGTTTTTAGAGCTTCTGAGGTATTATACCGTCTACCATCTTTAATTCGATTCAGGCTTGTTTTACAATGTTATTCTATTTCATTATATATACAACTTTATTGATTAAGAAGAAAATATATTCAGATCCAGTAAGAAAATGAACAATAATTTATTAACAGCCATCGTCATCATCTGTCGAGTCCAGATAAACATCCGGGTCGATGTCCTCGTCATCATCGTCCACTAAATTCGGTTCCATTTCTTCTTCCATGAAGTTATCGGCCTTTCGAAAAGTTTCCTCAGCCTTTTGAGCATGTTCGATAAAGCGAACGGAGGTATCTTCGTCGACAGCAGCCATATATTCCTGTGATAGCGAGTGAATGTCAGTCAAGCGAAACAGAGTGTTGTTCGTTCTAACATATCCCTTGAGCTGAGCCCAAGCCAACTCGATCAAGTTTAGCACACAGTATTTGATTGGCAATCGAACGATCTCAACATCATACTCCATAGCCGCTACATTCGTCTTATACTGTTTCGGTGGTACATGATGAAAAGCAGTTTCAAGTAGCTCTGCTTTTGTTAACTTGGGATCAAACGTGACCTTATGTTCTGTGAGCCATTGCTGAATCTGCTCTTTCCTCCACGATCGTTTCGGTGGTTTACTTTCTTCAGTAAGTTCGTTGTGCCATGCGGCATTGTCGATTATAATAGCGATACGTGCAGTAAGACCGTGATAGAGACGTAGATGAGAGGCAGCGAAACCAATCCATTCGATGAAACGAGCCGAATTCTACTTAGAACGGAAGATGCAAAAGTATAAAGCCCCATTTTCATCTCTCAACTTACCATAGAATGATCAACATCGGAAGTAAAGATATCAACCGTATCCTTGTGGAAACCCGTCTCGTTTATCATCGCCGAGATGGCCAGTCTCTTGCCTTTACCGTCCTGCTTTCGGATTCGCCCCTCCCCGGCTTCGTCTAGCCATACTGAACGCTTTTCTTCGCCTATATTGCACCACGTCTCATCGTGATAGTAGAGGTGGACATTTGCGCCTCGTAGTTCGTCGAGCCTACGAAAATAGGCAGCGCGCTGTGCAATGAATGATACTGAATCAAGCAGAATCGGCACTTTGCTGGTTTGTTTGTACGAGAAACCTAGACGTTTTATAGTGAAAACGCTGTATTAAACGCTGTATGAGATACTCGATTTTAGGACTTCTAGGGAAATGCCTGTAACTTTTTCATGCAAGGTCATACAGGGTTCTACGAAGTCTTTTTTTGATCAGAAACGTTTGCTCTACAAACCTGTGCTTTCAGAAAAATTTTAATTGCGTAAGTATCCAGGAAAAAACCATTATTTTAAGACCCATTTTTTCGAGGCTCTCAGAAAACTTGTTCAAAATCCCCGACAAAACAGTTTTGTAACCAAAAGTAATACAGATTCTGGAAGTAGACACTTCAGGCTATCTTTCCATGTGCGTATCTCAAAACCTATTTTTTGACCGAAAAATCACCATTTCTGAGGGAGGGACCCTTAAGACGTTTTATTGAATGCAAGAAAATAATTGTTTGATTGAATAACTCCTTTATATGTGGACAGGAATTAAATAGATTCAAACGTGTATTGTATGTACGAACATTACTACTGTCCTTTTCAAATTACGGCGCCGGCGACCATTTTTTCAATGTCTATTGAACGGTATATAATAGTTCATATTTGTTCTAGGTGAAGGAAGTGGAATAATGAAAATTAGTTGAATTAAGGTCATTTGACGAGGGAAAAGTTCTTTTTGCGAAAATGTTTCTAGGGGTGCTGGAAAGGATTTTTTAGGTCTAAAAATGTGTTAGGTTTAATCGTGGACAAAAACTGCATCAGATCGGTTAATATAAGACTGATCTGTGAGGGGGTGGATTTTAGCTCTTTTCGACCCCCGTCCTTTATTAGTTTTTCGTAATATATACGGAAAGTAACTAATTTCCTTCTCACTTCCTTCTGAACATAAGGCCACTCTTCACTCCCATCAGCGATTTACATTAGCTTACTGCGTTGGATGAACCATTTTCCAGTGAAATTTTCTGTAGAAGCTTTCAATTTATTAAATTAATTTTATATGAATTAGTACGTCAATAAATAACAATTAAAAACTAATGTTAATTTTACATAAATAAAATTTCGTATGAGTTCTCTCTTATATATAGCTGCGCTCACATTTCATGGGACCGTGAAAAGGTAATAAATTTGTGTATATGTTGTAAAGATCATCAGATATGAATGAAATGGCTCGGGCATTTTAGCAAATATGCCTGATTTTCACCAACCTTGAACTTCTGTCACTAGTCCTTTCCCTATCTCTAAATGCTCCGATCTCATAAAAAACTGATTGCTCGAAGATCAGTTTTTTATGAACTGTCTCCACTACAGCGGTGAGTCTTCGAGCTTGTTCAAGACAATATAAAATGCGCACAAAGAATTATACTTCAGCAACTGACAGGTGGACTGGGTTTAGGCGTTTGATGCTCACTACTTCCTCGCTTTCGCCTCCCTAAAGATTACCTAACTATTATTATATTCCATTAAGTTAACATGCTTAGTGCATTAACAATATGGTGTACAAATGTTTCAATATTGCAGAGCACAAAAAGCGCTAATTTTTTCCTACATTTGATATAAATCAAGAATTAATTTGAACGAACTTTATTATACCATGACATTCGATGTGTTGTCACTTCTCTATTACTAATAATTTCGACTAGAAACGTCTGTTATTTACTTTAAATATTATCTGCCATTTTCTCTCTATATTTCAAATCCTTTGTTTTGTATGAGTAATACTGAGAAAAAAAAGACATAAATTTAAAACGTCTACAATGAGGTCATCTCCGTTCACATTTTGTACGACCAATAGGATGCCTACAGCAGTATTTTATGACTTGGAATTTTCCAACTTGGAAAAGGTAGAGAAATTGCGCATTTCGATTATGAAAGCTTTTTTTAATACTATTCATATTAAAGATTTCATTCCACACTTTCTTTACAAGATCAGACCATATTATATAATTATGTGTTTGAAATTATTAAGATTACCTTACGTTTCATAATACCAATATAGATAGAAAATCTTTGATAGCTTACAAAGTATGGCAAACTGGAATGGTGGTGGTGGAGAAGCCGTCGATGGTAGTAGAGAAAAGAAATCTTTGAAGACTGAAAGGTTTCGTGTCTTAAGCAATACAAGAGCTACATTTGAAACTAGAATTCTCGCATCATCGGTAAGTTAACTTGTCCATGCTGTTACGTTTTGGCCACGCTATTTTTTTAACTTTTCGCGATATTCAGACTAACTAGGGAGTTCATTTTTGCGATGAAATATATGACTCGGAGCTCCCGGCAAGTTCTGATGGTATGAAGTGATTTGGTTCGGTCGTTTCAGGGAAAAAAGCAGAACAGAGGGCGTTACGCCGTTACGAAAAACAGCCCTAAATTTCGACCCATTACGCTGTTACGTTTTTTTTCTAGTTAGCTTGAGATGGCTTTTTGACCGATTCAAACTTGGGCTTGAAAAATGTACCGGGTATCGCCTGATGCAACTAGATATACTAGATACCAAACGCGATACATCTACATGCATAAAAAAGAGAAACAGTTGAATCGGGTTATCGGCCGATCCATCCAGATACAGCCGATTCATTTCTAGATGTACCTAGTTATGTATCTAATAGCGATATTATCGGGCAATATATCGGGAGATGAATCAAATTGCGTATCGGCTAGTACGAAGGGGGTTCCTGAGAGGATCTTTTCATGAAATTTTTTTTGAAGCTTTTGCTGGAAACAAATATTGGTTGAACGAGGTTCAGCATGATCGACAATCTATGTTTCCATCTATCTTTGGGGATGCTAAAATATATCGGAAATCGATCCGGGGACTCCTGAGAAGTCCGATGCTACGCCTAAACAGTGAAAAAAAAGAGATTAAGGGATTTTCATTTTAAAGAGGACACTCTGGACTATCCAGCCGTTGAAAAGAACAATAGATTTTCAACTTTTGGGTGGTATTCCAAAGATCTCCTAGAAAACCTTCTTGAAAAACAAATTTGAAAATCGCTTTTCTAATGAACAGATGCTCCCAAGTCTCCTGTTTCGAACAATGAAAATCGCAAGTCTGCATCTGTCTTCGTTCAAAAGTTATTCTAAATGTTTGTGTTGATCCTGGGTTCTGAAAGGATAGTATTAGAAAAACGTAACAGCGTAACGCGGCGAATCTTACTTCTTAACAAAAAAACATAATCGATTGGATAACCCATCAAAAGTTAGCTTTGTCTATGTAATCATTATTGAAAAGTATCACGAATCTGGTTAAAACGATGTTTTCATTACGCTGTTATGCTCGAATTGGTGATGTTTTGTACTCGATGCCACGACGATAACGGTCAAAGAAAAAAAAAGTATTTACAAATCCCTTTTTGTTACTGATTAAAATAGTCTATGTTGGCCTTTTATATACGCGATATATAAGCGTGTATCGCGATCGAAAAATATATGTATGTAAATTAGACTACTAATAGCAAAATATAGTACCGGTAGGTATTTTTTTGAATAACTTTTGACGGATATGCGATAGAGACCTGCGGTTCGATAGCCAAGACTTGAGCGGAACTTTTCGCAAGCGGAAACAATTTTTGACAAAATTTCAAAGACCGCGTTACCAGAGGATCTTTGAAAAACTAGCTCCATTCTCAGAAAACTAGCATACAATGTTAGTAATTTTTTTGCATGCGTAGGTAGTCCTGACGTTACTCTGCAAAATTATGTAACTCCCAGCTCTCCAGCTATCATCGTTTGGACAGGGCTCACTTTCCCCGAGCACGTGTCTATCTTCGAGCAGACATCTCTGGGAACCTCGAAATGCCATGATATATAGGTAATGGGCTACGGTGAGCATAGTGGTAATATTTGTTTTTGTGTAGAAATGAAAATAACTTCGTCAGAGGCTTTTTTGTGAAAAACCGGTTTTTCCCGGTTACTAGCAAAAACTAAAATCATTATATCTTGGTCAAATCTCATGCTGACTCAAGGAAATTTTCAGGAAAGACTTAAAAGGCGCCATATATTGGGATCAAGCCGAAAAAGGTGATTTCCAGCTGGACATTGGTTTAAGGTTTTCAGAAACCTTCTGAAAAACCTCAAAGCACCAGTGTTCTGCTGGACTACTTTTTCGGCGAGATCTTCAGAAGGTTTCTGAAAACCTTAAACCAATGTCCAGCTGGAAATCACCTTTTTCGGCTTGATCCCAATAT